ATTTAAATAATTTATTACTTACGTGGCAAAAAAAAATTAAATATTTTAATTAATCAAAATTAAATATTATTTTTTCCTAAACTTCTTAATCCATGAATAAAAAGAATTTAAACGAAATTAATTTTAGTTTCTTCTTTCTCCTCAGCATCCACCATCATTTTCAACTTCAAATCTTCATCATACTGGGTTCCCCCAAGGAACCTAGTTGCTGGGTTCTGCTAGAAACTAGAAACTAGGTTTCAAGAGGAATCCATTTCTGGGTTCCTCGGGGAACCCAGATCTGGGTTCCTCCAACCCTCTTTTTTGTTTCTTTTTTTGTTTTTAATTTTGAATGTATATATCTTCCATAAAAGAGTCGAATGAAATCAAAATTTCATGTTCAGATGTGTTCGATATCTACGTTTGAAATTACAGGTAGGGTGATGTTGTTGTGTTGATGTTGCTATGAGTAAAGTGAAGGATCTATTTTGCAGAGGATAAATTATTTTAATTAGTAATTAATTTTTATTTTTAACAATGAAAATATTCTTATGAATTGTGGATTATATATTTTGACCAATCTCTTATATAAAAGATTGATTATAAATGAAAAATAAGAATTTTGAAAGAAGGAAGATGATAGTTGGAGAAGGACTGCGAACATTGATTAGGGTTTGTGGGAGAGTTATTAAATGAATCATTAAAGTCCACATAAGCATCTTTACAAGGTGAAATGTCCACGTTAGATGTTGTTGTTAAAATAAGGTCATGCCAGCAAAATTTAACGGAAGGACCAAAAAGAAATCAAATTTTAAAATTTAGAGACTAAAAAGGGGGTTTTTTCGGTACAAGGACCAAAAAAGACTTTTTCCTATAGTAGAAGGATTAAAAAAGGTATTTAACCTTTTCCAGTTGAGTCTAAGACAATTACTATCTCCATTCAACTTAGTTATCTTAATTTAATTTTTTGAATATTAATTTTAAATTAAAATTTAACATAGTATATAAAGGATAATTAATTTTTTTTTATAAAATGAAATTATTTAACAAGAATTATATATAAAGGAAAAACGTTAATATTTATTTATATGTTTTTTTTAAATTTTTAACTGAAATTAGTATATGAAAAATAAGAC